TTTCAGGCCCTGGGAGGGGTCCTTCTAACGTGTTGTCATGGCGATACGTATCTGTAACATCTGTGCAAGTAAAATGTTTGCAGCAGAATCGGCTAAGATGCTGTCTATTTCCTCTCCAACTTTGCCTTGGCCATACTTAACCTTTGAGTTGAGTGGCATCAGAATGACCACTGGTATTTTAAGGTCCAGTTACAGGAAGTATGGTTGGAGGACAAATTCCTTTGGGGGTTGGTATGATCTATTTATGTGCTCCTCCGTCACCTCCTTTACAGTCAAGGTCCTGCTAGTATCCTGGTTTGGAGTGGCTTCTAGAAACACCCCTACACCTACTGTGTCAATGAACCCAGTGCCGTTGTGAGAAGGCGCGAGGCCAATGGCAGCCCTGTGATGTGAAGATATCTTAAGGTGTCTGTACTGCCAATGGTCAGTAGAAGACAAATAGGGTTAGGAAGGTAAAGAGTGGCACGCTGGTCTGTGGAAAATTCTTCCGAGCATCAGATATGTACACTAGTAAGTGGAGAATAGGATTCCCATCAACAGTCCACTTGGACACTCTGTGCCCTCAGGAGGATAGAAGGATACTCACTCGTGCAGCAGACACAATTATTAATGCACCATACTGGGCACCTGGGTGGCCCCGTTGTCCGGCTCTTGGTTTTGGCTCAGCTTATGATCTCAAGTTCGTGGGTTCGAGCTCCATGTCGGGCTCTGCACCGTCAGTGCGGAGCCTGCTTGGGATTCTTTCTGTCCTTCTCTCTCTGCCCCCTCTGCAGCTTGTGCTCTCTCCTCAAATAAATTTTTAAAAGATAAAGAAAAAAATAAATGCACCACACGTTATTTTTTCTGTTTTGAGGGAAATTAAAAGAAACTATCATAATGCCACTGTTTAAATTCCTCGCTAATATGACACAGAATACTAGCATAAATGAGAGACCGTAAAATGCAAAATACACCATAAAATAAGAACATCATGACAAACTGATAACTGGGGGTTGTTCATTCAAAGAGTGTTTCAGGTTAGTCATTCCATGAAAAACTTGGAATTTCCCTGAAATCCTACAGCTTACACAGGAAAGAAACTTGATGGAGGCTTTCCCCAAACTGAGAACTATTCTAAAAATGTATGCGACATTACCTCTGAGATATAAAACTCACATAAACATTTGCAAACTACCTATAATAGAAAGGGTTTTGATCAACCATGATGGGAAAGGATGACGTTATTTTTCTATTTTCTCTATAGAAAGATATTTTATAAAATCTCTGTCCGGACAAGACAATCAAAGAGCATGATGCAAAAAAAACAAAACAAAACAAAATAACAGAAACAAAAACAGAAACAAAAAAAGCCCCCACAAAAACAAACAAAACCAAAAAAATATAGGAAAAATCTTTCCGAGATGTCAGGCTGTTACTAAAATATTGAGTTATTTTTTCAGATTTTGGCGTGTGTGTTTGTGGTTTTAGCTCTTTAAAATTTATAATTCAGCTGCATGTATTTTCTCATTCCCAATAGTTACTTTCTTGTGTAATTTTGTTTCAGTAATTTGGAATTCTTTTTTTTTTTAATTTTTTTTTATAGTTCATTTATTTTTGAGACAGAGACAGAGCATGAGCAGGGGAGGGGCAGAGAGAGAGGGAGACACAGAATCCGAAACAGGCTCCAGGCTCTGAGCTGTCAGCACAGAGCTCGACACGGGGCTTGAACCCACAAACCGTGAGATCATGACCTGAGCCGAAGGTGGACACTTAACCGACTGAGCCACCCAGGCGCCCCTGGAATTCTTTTTTAAAGGAGGATCCAAACGGAAGAAGTTTTAACATCAACAAAACCACACGACACTGGATACTTCAGCCATGTTGGCCTCAGTTTTCTCACCTGTAAAATGGGTGGCAATAACACGAGGTGAGTGGTTGTAGAGAGAACATCGACAGGCTAAGGCACTGGAAAGGGCTTAGGTGACAAAAGTCACAAATCTAGAGTCTGCAAAACCTGGGAACAAGACCGCAGGTGCCAGGTCACCCCCTGTCCTCATGCAGCAGCTCAACGCCCGTGAAGAACTATGTGACATCTGTGTGGTTCTTGTGGGATCAGCTCACCTCAGGGCCTCTTCTCCAGGGTCTTAGGGGGCTGTCCTCGAGGAGGTGGGGGGACAGTTCCTCGGTACTTGTCTGCAGGTTCTCTCTCCTTCCCTCTTTCTTGTGCCACCTTGCACTTTTTCTGAGAGACAGAGGTGGGAACGAGGCAGAGGCTACCTTCCACCTGCTTCTGCGGTTCCTTCTGGAAAGCGCGGTCATGGAAGACTGCGGTTTGTAGGCAGGTCTTAAAAGCAGTGCCATTATCTGGATGCGGATTTTGCGGGTGTCGCAGGCGGACGGCCAGGCCCCTCTGCTATTGCCAGCGCAGACGTGGCCCGGGGACCCTGGAGCTGGCCGTCGTGAAGCAGCTTCTTAATCCCGGGTCAGGAAGTGGTTTTGGAGCCAATAGTTCTGGTGGCAGTTTCCTGATTCTCCACATCCCTGATGTCTGCGGGCCGGCCCTGCAGCGCGGATTCTGGAGCCATCCTGGAAGGTGACCTCCGTTCCTCCAACAACCGTCATGCGCCTCGGTGCGTTCATCTTTTGTGCTTCCCAATCTGGACTGATGCAGGATGATGTGCAGAGAGTTCTTTTTTTTAATGTTTATTTCTGAGAGAGACAGAGAGACAGAGCATGAGTGGGGGAGGGTCAGAGAGAGAGAGGGAGACACAGAATCCGAAGCAGGCTCCAGGCTCCAGGCTCTGAGCTGTCAGCACAGAGCCCGATGCGGGGCTCGAACCCACAAACCAGTCAACCGACTGAGTCACCCAGGGGCCCCGACATGCAGATAGCTCTAATGCATCGTTCAGAGATTTCCTCTACTGTCGTGCAAAGTAGAGAGAATCAGAAAGTTACTTCTATCCGAATATGGCCTAGAAGTGTCAGGGGCTTGCTGACCGGGCCTTGCATTTTGTGGCGAGGAGAGGTAATTTCAACTCTCCTGTTCAAGACTGAATAAGGGCATATTGTTGTATATCCATATAGATAGGGAACAGTGACCGGTGATCAGAAACCCAGTCTCTGGAATTTAAGTGTCAACCTCAAGGAAAGGGAAGAGGTGAGAGCCTGAATCAATTAAGTTTCTTTCACTTGGTGACAAAAGGCTTGCCATTGAAATAAAGTGCAGAGATAGAAAAATAAATGTTGCACTCCTGAGCACACGCATTGCCATCAAACCGGTACAGGATACAAGCCGCCATATGTTGAGGGTTAACACACGCAGTTACCATAGTTTACATGCCTGCCTTCAATTCAGTCATTCTAGTTACTCCTCACAGAGACCCGATAAGGTGGGGGACGGGCTAATATCATTTCTGTGTAAACCCGGGGAAGGGCGCCGGAACTCAGGCAGGCTACCAGGTGATCCACAGCTAATAAGGGAACTAGATAGAATTCAGACTTAGGATTTGCATAAAGAGCAATATGGGGAACACGTCAGGTGCAGGAGATGTGTGACAAAAAGATTTGGAAAGGGAAGGGGAGTTAGTTGATTTTTGAATAGTTGTGGCCAATATGATCCTGGTGCCTGGGAAGGATGCCGAACTCTCTAAGAGAATCACTAAGTAAGAAGAGACACGTGTTTTTCTGAGTGGGTAGGGGTGGCTCTCTGTCCTATTCCCCTGGGTCGCCATGGCCGCCGCGAGGACCCCTTTGTTCTCTCTCCTGCCATACGGGTGCAAGCAGGATCGTCCAGGACCAAATGGGTCCACCGCACATCCACCTGTTTAGTCGGACGTCAGAGCCCAGAGAGACGCCCCTCAGACACTGGTGGAGAAAAATGGGGCATCTTCCTCTTTCCTGAGCCACAAACAGATGCAATGGGAGAACATGGCCCCCACGTGGGTGTCCGGAGTGATCGCTGCACTCCTGTGGCTGCAGAAAAAGGGCGAGTGAGGGTCCCTGCAGCCTCCTGCCTGGTTCTGAGTCGCGCCCAGGGAAGGCCCCCGGCTCCACTGTTCGTCATTCCCTTTCTTGTGACCCCTCACTGTCCCACACGTTTGCCCCTTTGCTCCTTTTAACCTTCTCTGCCAGAGTCCGAGAGGTGCTGTCTTTAAGACCTCAGGCTCTACCTGGATTTGAACCCTGGTCACACTTATCGGTGATACAACCCTGGGTAAAGATGGCCCCTCTCTCTATCTCAGTTTCCATATCCTCACCTGTAAAATGGGACAGATTTTACTCATAGGGCTTTTATGAAGATTCCCTGATTTAATACAGGTCAGTGCTTGAACCACCACCTGGGACAGGGGTGCCTGGGCGGCTCAGTCGGTTAAGCATCTGACTTCCGCTCAGGTCATGATCTTGCAGATGTCGTGGGTTCAGGCCCCACATTGGCGCACTGCTGTCAGCACAGAGCCTGCTCTGGATCCTCTGTCTCCCTCTTTCTCTGCCCCTCCCCCACTCACGTGTGCACGTGCTCTCTCTCTCTCTCTCTAAAATAAATAAACATTTAAACAAAAAAAACACCACCTGGAACATAGTAAAAGTTCATCAAATCTTAGCGATTTTCCCCATTCGTTTTCAAACCATGTGCTCCCAACCTCTCACATTTATGTCCCATTTTCATGATTTTTGCCACATCAGCACCTGCAATAGTACTGTATTTGCTTAATAGTTTTATTTAACTTAATTCATCCCATATAACCGTATCAATGATATAAGCGATTTAAAATGCGGGTTAATTTTTTTTCCTAACATCCTTTTCTTTGTCCCTTAGCAACTAAAATTTAAAAGTTAGTTTACGTATTCCTAAACTCCCGTGTACCGCCAGTGGGCTAAGCACTACACTTCAGGAAATACTTGGGTGCATAATTGTTTTTTACACGTTGACTTATTTTATTAACTCATTAATTTACTAATTCCTCTAGTTATACATTCAAGGACTCACTGAGTCATTAATGACGGGAATTGTTTTTTGACAGCCATGTGCCAAGTACCTCGTGTGGGCAGGCCCTGTGCTGGACCCTGAAGGGACGCAAACACGCCCCAGGTAAGTCCTTGACCATGGGAAGCTCACAGTCCGATGAGGGAGGGAGCCAGTCGCGCAAATAAGCAATCGCAGTGTCTTGTGACAAGCCCCTAAGAGGGTGTGCGGGACACGGCATGGGGGCCCCAGGGGAGTCAAGGCTCCTGCAGCCAGATGATTCTCCAAGGACACAAACTCAGCCTCCCCACTCCTGACAAAACAACACTGGTCATGAGCAATAGTTCCTGCTTGTTGTCAAGTGGTGTGAACATCAACAAGGCAGGACTTCCCGTGCGGGGTTAGACAACACAGAAAATGGAGGCAGAAAGGATTCTGGCTAAAATGAAGATATTTCAGCCAGTCCTCCCTCCCTCCCTTCCTCTCTCCTTTCCTTCCTCCCTCCTTCCCTTCCTTCCTTCTTTCCTCTCTCCATCCCTTCCCTCCCTCCTCCCCCCTCCCCCCTCCCCCCTCCCTTCCTTCCTCCATCACTCCCCCCTCCCTCCACACATATTTATTGAGCACCTACCTTGTGCATGAGCCAGAGAACATAGTCTCTGCCATCACAGAGTTTAAAATCTTGCATGAGGACCGGATGTTATGGTACAAACAACCACACAGAGGATAATTCTGATCATGGCAATTGCCAGGGAGAACACAGGGTTATGAGAGCATCTAGAAAACTCCAAGTAGACTAGGCAGTTAAAAGTGTCAGCTCTGAGAAGGTGACATGTAAGGGAAGGAAGATCCCCAGAACAAGGAGGAACTAGCTGAGGTGTGGGAAGAGCGGTGTTCTGGGCAGAGACATCTCAGCATGTTGGGATGGCTGGAAATGGAATGAGATCCACAGTTCTGAGGAATGCAGAGATCTCTTTGCTGGATGTTAGTGACAAGACCTCGAAGGAGGAAACCAGGAGATGAGGCTGGGGGCACAGGATGTTGAAGATGACCTGGGGCACCGTAGACACACTATTGCCCACCACCGTCCTCGGTGTAAGGAGAAAAAGTGTGAAGGTTCTAGACAGGGGAGATCCCAACTCGATTCTCATTGAGAAATCCTCACTCTCAACTGCGGTGTGGAGAATGCATTGGCCAGGGCGTGCACTTGGACAAGCGTGCTCAAGTCAAGGGTAGAAAGAATGAAAAAGAAGGGGCCTCAAAAGAAGAAGCAGGGTAGAAAGAAATTCCAAATGGATTCCCTAAGAGAATTAATTGCCAAGGGGATCCCCCGGAGACCCAGTGGGCAGGGCCACGGTGGAAACCAATGTCACGGCTATATTTAAAGTTGCCTTTGAACTCCATGCTGCGGGAAGAGCACAGGCTTTGGAGCAAAGCAGACGGAGGTTCACACCCTGCCTCTACATCTTTGGCTGTTTAACCTTAACCTCCCAACCCCCCATTTCATCATGTACAGATAGACACGTAACAACACTGCCCTCGTAGAGCCATTGTAAGGCTTCGACAAAGAACACACGGAATTTCGGGCACATAGTAGGCGATCAGTAAAGTGGAGTGTACCGTAGTGCTGTGTCACATTCTGTTTTGTGCAGATGCTGTAGGACCCAGGGCTTCTTTCCAGGTTTACCGGGAATTCTAAAGAAGCCGCCATACTGTGAAAATATTCTTTCTGATATGCTGCACATTCTAGTAAATGGCATTATTCATGGATGTGTCAAAGCCATAAAATAGGAGATTTTGAGGCGATCACAGCTGTGAATGATTAATATTTTCATCCCAAGATGCCACGGAGGTAGCAAGGCTGTGTTAATTATTACATGCCTGAGCCTCGTACTGTGGGCTCCCTCCCCAAGTGCCTGTTAATTTGCTCATATGCTGTGCAGTGAATGGGACTAGGGGACTCTCCCCTCAGAAAACACGGTGGCTCTCTGTCAGTCCTCATGTCCCCAATAACTGCTTTATACTTCTGCAGGAGGGGAAAAAAATCCCCAAATCCTATAACAATGATGGCTTTTAAGCAGAAATGCTGAAGAAGTGCTTTATCAAAGATGGCTTTGAGCTTTCCTTTTTGTCTCCTTTTTATTTATCTTTTCCTTAATTTTCTCTTAAAAATTTTAGATGCACTGGAATTGTGAATACCCCATATGCAAATACAGCCATCTCTTAAATTGTTTTCCGTTGGTATTAAATCTTAAATTTCTTGAGTCCTCTCCCTATCATATTTTAAATGTATTTTTATGTATAGAAACATTTTCCTTTTGCAGTTTTGACCCAAGAACAGCAGCTCTACCTCCCTGTAAATATTTGTTTGGCCTTCGGTGTTGTTATTTCTTTATTTTGAGGACATTGGGTTCATATCTTTACCTCCAAAACCCCTCTTAAAAACACAGGTAGATTTTTAAAAATTAAAAGAAAGAAGAAGCAAGGGCCAAGAGCTATGCCCTCATCGTCCACGTGAATGCGTGAATTTCTCTAAACCCCAGTGTGTTCTTAGACACCGAACCAGTTCCTCCTGCAATTTCCGTAAATCTCTCTATTCATATGATTTCACTAGGATCCGTCTCTGTTGAAAAATCTAGTTGAGGCTGCCTGGCAGTCTGAAAAGAGGAAGATCTATTAATTTCATCATTTGTATGAATCATGTCTAAATGATCTCAGCAGAGAAAATGTGTTAGCCATTTAAATCTCATCATTACATATTATATAATAATTACTGCTAATTCTAGTTTGGATGGGCCACAGTCTGGCTTTCCATCCCCTTTTGCAAAGTGGAGGGTAAGGTGACCTCACCGAACGTAGCCCCTCCAGCCTTATCGCCTTCCCTTGCCTTCCTCATTATGGACTTAATAGCCACATTCAACACTGAGCGTCTGGCCAACTTAAGGTCTGTTTTGTGCTCGTAATTAGTATTCATTTTGTGAACGTGGAGTTCACCCTCAGCCCAGATCGGAGCCTCATGCTAATCACTGCGGTGTCTTCCCCTCTTTGCTTCTGATCCGTCTGCATCGTGACGCTTGTCCCTACCTCATCTGTTGCGCGTACCAGCAACGCGGGCACCTCCGCACCGCCCGGTGTCAGAATTAGAAACTTTGGGCAGATCCGTAATCACACCGTTCTCATCAGCTCTGTGCATGTTATTCATTTCATTTCCACATTCGAACCGTTAATATGCCTTAATTTCTCTCACTTTGTGAATATTTAATTCCTCCCTTTTCAACATCATTTTTAGGTTGTGTGAATCATTTTCAAAGCCTTTGCTCTTCTCCCCGCACTATCATCTGCATATTTTATGAAATGGCACGGTTGAGTCTCGGAGGGCTCTTGATAAAAATGGAACTGGCAGCCTGCTCATTAGCTGTTTACCTGGAGCTGTGTGAGTCCCCGATAATGGCGCACTCCCGATAATGGCGCCTCCCATTTGGATTCGAATTAGGATTCTCTGACAAATAACAACCAGAAGCCTTCTCGGGGACGTCGCCTGTCTTCCAGTGCCCTCCTTGCCTCCTTTGCAGAGTTTCTGGGAAACTTGCTTTGGGGGGCTGTCCCAGGGAATGTTCCACCCTGACTTCAGAGGCAGCTTAATTTTTGAAGTGGAAACACAAAAGCTTTAGCAAATTAGCACCTCCAAGGAGGGTGAGATTCCCCAGAAAGGACACATTCTAAAGGTCAGGTTATTTGACCTTCTGGAGTTTTGCAGATGACAGAAGCCACTTCTCTGCTTTAACCAGGTGGCCAAGGGCCCCATTTTGTCTGGGGCTGGGGTTCCCTGGGGCAAGGGCCCTATGGTTTTGAAAGCAGGGAAGGTCCAGGCAAATGAGGATGGCTTGGTCACCCTCATGATCAACTCCATGACTTGTGTGCCGCTCCCGGCCTTGAAAGTTGCTGGGATGGTCAAGGGATTCTAGAGATGAGCCTCCTGTGTTTGTCCCTGAAGAAGCCAAGCAAAGGGCACAGAACACCGACCTGTGGTCCGTGAACTTAGCTTGAACACTATTTTTGTGAACTGACAACCTACATTTAAAAATTAGGAGATTCAGCGGTGCCTGGGGGGACTCGGTTGAGCATCCGACTTTGGCTCAGGTCATGATCTCACAGTTCATGGGTTCAAGCCCCGCATTAGGCTCTGTGCTGACAACTCAGAGCCTGGAGCCTGCTTTGGATTCTGTGTCTCCCTCTCTCTGCCCCTCCCTGGCTCACTTACTCTCTCTCACGTGCTGTCTCTCAAAAACAAGTAAACATTTTTTAAAAAATCAGGAGATTCAAGGGCACCTTGGGGGGGGGGGGGGCTCAGTCAGTTAAGCATCCGGCCCTTGATTTGGGCTCTGGTCATGATCTCACAGTTTATGAGATCAAACCCCGCATCTGGCTCTGTCTGGGCTGACTGCACAGAGCCTGCTTGGGATTCTCTCTCCCTCTCTCTCGGCCCCTCCCCTGCTCATGCTCACTCTCTCTTTCAAAGTAAATACATAAGAATCAGGAGATTCTTCTATAAATATCTGAGATTTTCACTTCTCTTGAGAAGCCAAAGACATGGCTACTCTGTGTCCACATTCTTTATGGGAATGATTGATCAGCTGGAGCGGGGCAGTGACTGTCCCTTTAGGTGGGGCACCTGCTTCCCAGTTTTACAATCCTCCCCAGCCGGCTCCATTCAGTCTGCATAGCAATCCTGTCTCTGTTTGCATTTGACTGTGTAACCCCGGGTAAAACTGAGTGCTGGCAGCAGAGACAAGCCTCGGTTCTGTTACCTCTGAGCTATCTGACTTTGGGCAAGATAAGTAAACATGCGGGGTCTCAGTTTTCTCATCTGTGACCCGAGGATAATAGAAGTGTACTGGTCTAGTATGTTGTAAGTACTAAGCTAAATAAAATATGTACATTGCAAAAATGCAAAGAAACAGTTTAGTGATGGCCTGGTCCAAGTAAGCGTTCATTAAAAGTGCTCCGTTCTTTTACCTTTTATTATGTGATCATTAGTTTTGCAGAAAAATAAACTGGAACCCACAATTGCCTGGTGAGCCTCTTAGAATAGAAATAGAAACAGTGTGGATGAAAACAATAAGAAGGGGATATTATTGGCATTGAGGAAAGTGATTTCATGATGTCTGCAGGATCCAAATATTGAGGTGGACCGAGCAGCTCTGGGTGACCACCTGCACCATTAATGATATCGCTGACTGGGGCACAGGAAACAGAACATTCCATTCTTCACATGCAGGTAATCTTGTGTTCTTCCTCGCATTAGCAAATCCTCTAACACCTTTATGAATTCAACAAACCTATACTTTTTATACAAACTGAATTTCTTTGTAGTAGAAGTTGTTTCCTGAAGATTTTCTCCTGTTGAAATGGCTTTATCCTATAGTAGCCTTGCGACGCTGGGGCTTTTATCACTGGGCAAAAATGATACGTTATTAATACCTTGGATTTACGTAGCGTTTTTCTTCCGAACAGTTCAAAGCTTCTAGATGTTCTCAAAGAAATGGTATTTGATGTTAGTGAAGAAGATGTTACATGACAGGAAATAACTGTCTATCTTATTAAGATTGTCCCCCCACCCACGGCTTTTAAAACAGACTATTGTAATGCTACGGGCTCAGAGCTTTCCTAAGGAGATAATTTGGGAAGCTCTGCGGTTTGGTGGAAAGCATTTTTTATTCTGAGTTATTAGGACCTGGGTTTGAAACTCTGATTGGTCTCTGGAGCTGTCTGGGCTTGGCACCCCCCAAACAGGCAGGTTTTTGAAGAGAGTTAAATAAAGGGACTGTTTGCAAAACTGTGAGCAGGTGTAGGGAAGTTACCAGGATGGTGGGGTAGGTGAGGGCTGCTCACAGAGAGGCTCTTCTGTGACACTTGGGCCTCAGAGGTGAGAGGAAGGAGAGGGTAGACTTAGGAGACCAAGGACCATGTGGAAATGACCACCTTATCCCAGGAGGGTCCTACTCCACTCAGGGAGGGAGCTAAAAGAAAATATACTGAGATCACTCTCTCTTCCCCCCCGCCCCCCACTCTGATTTCCTGGTGGAGATCCCTGCTGGCCAAATCCAACTAGAAGCTTTGGGAGGAAGAACCCTTTGTAGTGGTGTATACTGCTTAGCCTCCCAGGACACCGCAAATGAGCAGCAGGTATAGAAGGAGTCAGAAAGGGACAAGCATAATCAGCTAGGCTTCCGAGTCAGTCTTTTATCGTGTCCAAATTTCCTTCTTAGCAAGCTAGAGCTATGTGCGTAATACCTTAGCTCAAAGTGTGATTTGAGGACAACGTGACGTAACACGCACACTCTCCTAGCAACTAATGGCTCCTCACTTGAAGGATGAAATAGACCGGTGCTTTGCATATGGTCATTTCATCTACAAGGCAACACAAGCTGAGGGCGGGGGTGCTAAAAGCTCTGTGATACTCTATGAAAATATCTGAGCCCTGAAAATACAAATTGTGGTTTTAAAATATAAAGTGTAACTTGATAACAATAGATAAATCCTTTATCAATTTTAGATGAAGCATAATAATGGTATGCATTATTCAGCTTTGTCAACGAATCAGGCTGTAGCAAACTCTTATTTAGCTCTATAGAAGCTTAGCTAAAGTGGGATACGTTTGATACATCTATCTAGGACTTACAGAGTTCTTGGTTAATCTGTTTCACGTACTGATTTTCCTGGGGAAGATTATATTTTAAGAGATTTACATTTATGATAATCTCAGTGTTTTGACTGAGGAATCAAATAACTGAGCAGGAAGGGACACTGAGAACACAGAGACTAGTTAGAAATAAAACAACAACAACAGCAATAACAATAACAACTCGTGACCCAAAGGTCATACTCAATCCCATGATCCTTTTACATATAAATTATGTCTTCATTTTAAATTAAATTTCAAAATTCTAAATAAAATTTATTTTAAAAGAAAAAATTTTAAAAATTCTAGAAAACTTTTTTTTTTACTTCTTAACGCCTCAAGAATTAAGATGCATTTTATTTATTTATTTTATTAAAAAATAGTTTATTGTCAAATTGGTTTCCATATAACACCCAGTGCTCATCCCCACAAGTGCCCTCCTCCATAACCAACCCCCCTCCCCCCCACATCCATCAGTCCTCAGTTTGTTCTCAGCATTCAAGAGTCTCTCATGGTTTGCCCCATCCCTCTCCCCCACTATTTTCCCCCTTTCTTCTCCCCCATGGTCCTCCGTTAAGTTCCTCCTAATCCTCCTATACGTGCAAACATATATCTGTCCTTCTCTGCCTGACTTATTTCGCTCAGCATAACACCCTCAAGGTCCATCCATGGTGCTACACATGGCCAGATTCCATTCTTTCTCATTGCCATGTAGTATTCCATCGTATAGATAAACCACATCTTCTTGATCCATTCGTCTGTTGATGGACACTTAGGCTCTTTCCACGTTTTAGCTATTGTGGAGAGTGCTGCTATGAACATTGGGGTACATGGGCCCCTATGCATCAGCATTTCTGTACCCCTTGGGTAAATTCCTAGCAGTGCTATTGCTGGGTCATAGGGGAGTTCTATTGTTAGTTTCCTGAGAAACCCCCACCCTGTTTTCCAGAGGGGCTGCACCAGTTTACATTCCCACCAACAGTGTAGGAGGGTGCCTGTTTCTCCACATCCTCACCAGCATCTAGAGTTCTCTGATTGGCTCATTTTAGCCACTCTGATTGGCGTGAGGTGGTATCTCAGTGTGGTTTTGATTTGTATTTCCCTGATGATTAGGGATGCTGAGCATTGTTTCATGTGTCTGTTGGCCATCTGGATGTCCTCTTTGGAGAAGTATCTGTTCATATCTTCTGCCCATTTCTTCACTGGGTTGTTTGTTTTTCGGGTGTGGAGTTTGGTGAGTTCCTTATAGATTTTGGATATTAACCCTTTATCTTATATGTCATTTGCAACTATCTTTTCCCATTCTGTTGGTTGCCTATTAGTTTTGTGGGTTGTTTCCTTTGCTGTGCAGAAGCTTTTGATCTTGATGAGGTCCCAGTCGTTTATTTTTGCTAAGATGCATTTTAAATGATGTCATTTTAGACTTGATGAATATAGGGTGACCCACTTTTAAACATATGGCGTTTTGCATAGAAGCTGGGATTTCCAGTTTCTGTCTAAAGGCTGGAGGGTATCTCAGCCCTGGTTCTAGGTATCCCATGCCAATGGCAATTGTAGAGAAACAGAGGAGCTCTGGGCTCCTGAGAGGACCGAGGCTCTCGGATCAACCCTGTCCTTTCCCACCTCTTCTTTGTTCATTGGAGTCAGAGGAACCTAGGCTGGTGGCTGCAGACTAGGGGGTCCTGAGCCTGTAGAGCCTTCTAGGGTGGAAGGGAGGGGCATGGACTCATTTTAATATTTACAGTATTAACGTGTGTATTACCCAGAATAAAGCAACAGATCAAGTTGTCAGTTCACTTGGGTATAATAATAATGGTTGCCTCCTAACCATTAGACTCTTAAATACTGAGAACAAACTGCGGGTGGACAGGGGTGAGGGAGAGGGGAAAGTGGGTGATGGGCATGGAGGAGGGCACTGGCTACGATGAGCACTGGGTGTTATATGTAAGCCAGTTAATATGACACTATCATATTAAAAAATGATTCTAAAAAAATGGCTGCCTCCTAATCAGGTTCTTATGGGCAGGTGATGAGTGAGGAGCAATGATAATAATAACAACAATAATAATAATACATAAGAGGTGAGGGGCGATAGGTCCAATACACAGTAAATGCAGTGCGATTGATTAAGTGTGGATCTCCTGGAATGAAGAGAAAGGGGAGGGTGGGAGGGAGTCCTTGGCAGGGGAAACTTTAAGGAAATGCTCTCCAGAGAGATTTAGTGACCTGTCCAAAAAAATCACATGCCTTGTCGGGAAGTGTCAGGCCTCTGGGCTCTCAGTCCCATATCCTTTGCTTTCAAACTGCATTCTAACTTGGCAGTCAGACTTATGGAAAAACTATATTCAAACCTCATAAGCAAATCCGTTCTAACAAAGCGACTTTCAGAGAGAAGATTCTCCCACTTTTGTCCAGGTAAATGCCGGCAAAGGTTTGAGTAAAAATCTCTGTGCTATATTGTTTACGTACAATACTCCTCGTATATATTAGGGCACATTAGTGTTTTCTACCAGGATTATTATTTCTCATTGAAGATACTTCCTGTATTATATTTTACTTTGTGTATGATAATATATATGGTATTTTAGAGATAGTAGATCGCTCTTGTCTTAATTTCCACGTCCGCAAATTTGGGATTACAACAAACTATTTTGTGATGGTAACCAGAGACGGGCACATCATATATGTGAATATTTTTTAACTCCTTAAGGGAGAGGCACATTATAAATGCGAGCCATTATTCAATATCGTTCTTGAAAAAAAATAGACCATGCAATCTTGCAAATAAAAGATAATTCTGCAGAAAATGTCTCTATGTCACCTTTCTAGTGTTAAATACTTGAAGTGAAGAAGCTTCTGGGCCTCTTGCTTGTATGACTGTTCACAATCTAATTGATCTCACTGTCTGAATTGTCCTTTCTTAATTTCACTGCAGTACTCACTTACTGTGCTTGCTGCTCAGATATCTGCGAGAGGTATCAGGCCTCCCCCCAACCTTAGTCAATTAGACAAGCTATTGTTTCTGATTAAGATATCACATCCCAGAGAATAATAGCAATTAGAGTCGGAACAGAGACCTGTGGGTCATGCCATGCACTACCTGCCAGCTCAAGAGATCGTTTTATGTTACATTGTAGTTTTGTGTGGTTTTCCTGATGTTGGCTTTAAAAAAATCCAAACACTCATCAGTGTTAATTACACCCCTGTCCTGTATCCCTCCCATGACTTAATCTGACGACTTTGCATTGCCGATTCTCATAAATTGGCACTGAATGATGGCTTTCAATGTCATCTCATCAAAGGACGGGGACGTGGGACATTTTCTTTTCAGCAGAGAAAGCAATTGTTGTTTTATTTGCTTTGGTTTTAGTTGGGAGTTGGAAGTAAATTTTATCCAAATACATTCATCTGCCAGACTTTCTGAGCTTCAAAATGCTTAGAACATAGTATGGCAATTTTCCGTTAACTTTCTTTTTTAAATCAGGTATGTCCATTATCAGAAGGGTTAATTTCTCCATGGAGAGAATGGTGTCCATAAGAAAGAAGCTTAAATTTCTCAGAAGTGCTTCTTTGAATCAGTTCTCCCTTTGCA